AGAGATGTGCATGAGATGATCCTTTCCTTCTCCACTTCCTATACATTTGTTATGGCAAATAGCACGTGGGAAGAAAATATTTATTTATTTATTTGGACATGATTTTACTATGTAGTTCAGACTGGCTTTCATCTCACTGTATAGCCCAAGCTGAGCTTGAACTCATGTCAGTCCTCCTGCCTCAGCTTCCTGAGTGCTGGGATCACAGGTGTGCACCACCATACCTAACTCCCAGTGAAGCCAATCTCTGACTTGACTGTCCTAGGGCATTATTTGGAAATGAAGTGCAATCAGAATTGAGGATGAACAGATTGTAGTACTGGTGTAGAAAGCATGAAATGAATTCACCATACTTGGCTGTCTCTTAATACCATCCGTTCATGCTGTTCGATGAACTCTGTTCTTGTTTCAGAGACTATGCCCTTTCATACCTCTCCCTGCGAGCTTGTATTGGACTATGGACTGCCTTCCTGTGTATTGTCCTTGTGGCAACTGATGCCAGTTCCCTTGTCTGCTATATTACCCGCTTCACTGAAGAGGCATTTGCCTCTCTGATCTGTATTATTTTCATCTATGAAGCAATAGAAAAGCTGATTCACCTGGCAGAGACCTATCCCATCCACATGCACAGCCAGCTGGACCAGCTTAGCCTCTATTAGTAAGTGTGTTTTCTGCTTATATTTTTCTTTTTCTTCTTCTTTTTTAATGGAGCAAAGGGCCCAGATTTAATGGCCGATGCAGTGTGCCAGGCAGCGCTCAGGAAAAGTCTTAGCCTTCTGGGAAACAGCTCAGATGTGGACAAGGAGGTCTGGAGGGCTGCCAGAGGAGAACAATCAAAAATGATGACCTAGGATGGACTGAGAGTGAGGCCCAGTGGAGACTTGAGAAATGCTTTCCAGATCTTTCTTTGCTAACAGGCACTGAAACAAAACACTGCTGCCAACAGCAGGGATTTGAGTTTGTTGTTGGGAAGAATTATTTTATGAACTCCGAGGCCATATTATCAAGGGAGAGAGTGGGCTTTTTCTCTGAAGATGTACAGATAACTCTTAGGAACCATTAGGCAAAATAGATTAATAATTCTCTTCAGATTAGGAGTCTCTTCCTCTGTATCACAAAGATTTAGAAGCATCTTTACTTCCTAGGTTTTTGCTCAAGATTCTATGTTTCAGCCAAGTGTGGTAGTACACAAATGTGATACCCACACTCTAGGTGGCTGAATCAGGAAAATCACAAGTTCATCCCATTTATTAGCACAACTGTCTCAAAAATAATAATAAAATAAAAATATTCTAGGTACTTTTCATGTCTTCAACAAAAATACAGCTGGCACTGTTTTCAGCCATCTAAGAGAATATAGCCAATGTACTATTTCTTCTCTGGAATAATTTTCTCCAGATTATGATGAAATCTCCTCTTCCTGTAGCCCTATACTCTGTTCTTTGCCTTCTGGCTATATAGTTTGTTCTTTCTTTCTTTCTTTCTTTCTTTCAGTACCGGGAATCAAACTCAGGACCTTATGCTTGCCCGGCAGGCACTTATGCCACTGAGCTTTCTCCCCAGCTTGGCTATATAGTTCAGATGTCTGAAGCAGATAATTTTTTAAATTTGAGACCGTCTCTTACTAAGTCACCAAGTTGCCCAGACTGGGTTAGAACTTGAAGGACTCTTGCTTCAGCTTCCAGACTCCTTTGATTTAAACCAGACCAGACTACAGATATTTCTCATTTAACAACCAAGTTCTGTTCCTATGACAAGGTCATTAAATGACCTACAGGCATTACAGGTATATGCTGCCACACCTAGCTTTTCGTGGGTTTTTAGCATTGAATAATATTCCATTGCCTAATATCTTAATTTATCCATTTACTTACTGAAAGACATCTTGGCTGCTTCAAATTTAAAATTTATAATTTTTTAAAGGCTTTGACTATTTTTAAGATAGCCTCTTTCTAGATAGTTCAGATTGGCCTTAAACTCTCAGTGCAGTCCACGCTGGCCTTGAACTCTCAGTGATCCTCCTGCCTCAACCTCCCAAGTGCTAGGATTTTGGACATGCACCACCATGTCCTACACTGGTTTAATGTTGACTATTTAAAGAAAACATTTACATATATCACACACAAACACACACACACACGCAACTTTTTGGGTCAGAGTCTCTCTGTCTTCTCCAGACTGGCCTCAAACTCCTGAACTCAAGTGGTCATTCTGCCTCAGTCTGCCAAGTGGCTGGAATTATTATGTGTTCTACTATTACTGGTTTATTTTCATTTTTAATTAACACATAGTAATGGTATATATTTATGGGGTACAGTATAACATTTTGATGCAAGTATATAGAGTATGACCATCAAATTAGAGTAATTGGTATAGGTATGGCATTGACTTTTAAAAACTTATTAAATATAATGTTTTACAACTTTCTCTATTACTTTTCTTTCTTTTTTCTCTCTCTTCTTTTTTTTTTTTGGTTTCCTCTAATTATTCTGACCTATTGAGATCTTTTTGAGTTTTAATTCTGTCATAGGCAGCATGTTTATTAAATTCATATATGAAACAAATATGGTAGAGATGACTATGTCAGTTGACTATATCAGGAGCCAGGTCAGGTGGGAAGCTTGCAGGGTTGGGAGACAGTGTCATGGCCAGGGGGAGGTGTACAGATATTCCTCTTTCAGACTCACAGTTGGGGCTCACTGTTTGGATTTAGGACTCACTGCTGGGACTTATGATCTGTCTTTTTTTGTGTGTATGTACAGTTCTCTGTGTGTACATTTTATTTATCGCAGTGCCTCAGTGTCTTTTTTGGTACAGTATACCTTTATTAGATAGTATTGTGATTTTTGATTATACTATACAACAGAATTCTGTAGTTTTATGTTGTTACATATTATAGTACTGCATGTAAGAGTTACAGTTCCTCAGTTAGCAACCAATTCATTTAATGACCTAGTCATAGGAACAGAACTTAGTTGTTAAATGAGAAATATCTGTAGTCTGGTCTGGTTTAAATAAAAGAGGAGGCTGGGGAAAGAGGAGGCCTGGCTCTAACAAGAATAGCCAGGAAATGGCCAAAGTAGTGGGGTATTATCAAGGATAATACAGAGTTGGAAAGAGCTCACACCATAGTTTTCCAGGAGACTGCACATTTTAGAACAAGAGCATGATGGGGTGTAAAAGTAAACTATCCAGGCCTGGAGGAAGTTGTTGAGAACTGAACAGAGTTATCGGGACCTCCTTGCTATGTAGATTGAATTTCATAGCAAGAGTTTAAGAGATGAAAACCAAGCAGGGAAGCTGTCAGGGCTTCATGTGCAGGGCGTGGTTGTCTGCATAACATCCAAGACTTAAAGCTGATTCGAAGTCATCTTTAGTAACGGCCAACTGAAAAACTGGGATATAACTGTACCTCTAGGTGGGCCTCAGCCAATAGGGTACATCTCAGAGATCTACAGCGTGCAAAAGAGAAAGAATGAAGATGCTGAGAGAGCCTTTAACCCAGTTATGGTTAAAAACACTTATTTGAATATCAGGTTGCTTTTCTCAAGAATCTTATTTCTTTTTCTCTCAGCTGCAGATGTACTGTCCCAGAGAACCCAAACAATCACACTCTGCAGTACTGGAAGGATCACAATATTGTGATAGCAGAAGTGAACTGGGCTAACCTCACTGTCAGTGTAAGTTTGGGAGCTGCTCGGTGTGCTGGCATTGTGACCTCCAGGTTTAGAAGTTGGAAAAGGGCTGGCCCTTAAATGCCAGCTTTGGGATTTAAGAAACATAGATTTAAAAAAAATAAAACTAGCTGAGTGTGATGGCACATACTGTAATTCCAGCACTTGGAAGATGCAGGCAGAAGGACCATGAGTTCAGGACCACCCTGGACTACATATTAAGTCAAGGCCAACCTGGATTGCTGCATAGTGAGATGTTGTCTCAAAAACCAACATAAAACTCCCAGAAACACTATTCTTATTGACTTCATTTTGCCCTTTCAAAAGTTCTTTGTATATAAAGAAGGCCACCCCTCTCTTCTCCCCCATGCATACCACCCTGTGACCCTGGGCTAAGGACATGTAGGAATGAAACCTGCTGGGCAGGAGGCAGGTCCAGGCTTTGTAAGGCTTGGGAAAAATTCGAGTTTGGAGATCCTCTATAATAAAAACAGTATAAATTGCTAGGGCCTTCCCCAGAATCTTAGAAGCTCAGGACTGTTCTAATTCCATTCTTAAAAGTGCCTCAAGGCGGTAGTAAAGATTACTTGAAAGTATCTCAGTTAGGACCACGGTAGTACCCTACTTGAAAGTCAGAACCCCCAGCTGCATGGAGGTCAGTGGATGGCAGCATGTGTTCCAAAGCACCTGTGGGATAACAAAGAGTGGTGGTAGCAGCTGTTTTTACTGCGTATGTCCATTGTTTGTCACCCAGAATGTTTGTTCTTCCAGAAATGCCAGGAGATGCATGGAGAATTTGTAGGATCTGCTTGTGGCCATTATGGACCCTACACGCCTGATGTACTCTTCTGGTCCTGTATTCTCTTCTTCACTACTTTCATCCTCTCAAGCACTTTAAAGACATTTAAGACGAGCCGCTATTTCCCAACCAAAGTAGGTAGCACGCTCATGCTGTGTTTGGGTTGTGATACAAGAAAGCCTGCGCTCACCCTCTATGCTGATTGTGGAGCAGATCAGCAGTGTGGAGAGCTCCAAATGTCCTGATGAGGACAATCTCTTCTAGTGTCTGGCACCTGTTTCATACATCTGTGGTGTGGAATGGGGATTCCTAAAATTCTTTCTGGCTTAAAAGTACAGTACCAGGTAGGCTGACAATGGTAGTATTGTTCTCTAATAGCTATTAAGTGTCACTGGAAATGCACTTTAAGTGCATTTCCAGAACTTGGTACACTAAGCATGCAACAGCTGGAGCTAGTCTGTGAACATGGTAAGTTGGGATGAGTATCTTGAAACTTTAGAGGATCCCAAAACTCAGATCTCTTCCCAAGGATGGCTCATGTAATAGCTTATGAAGTCACTGGCCAGATTGATGGCAGCAGGTACTCTTCCCCTGATTTGGCTTGCATCACCAAAGCCCCCACGACCTTTCCCTTATACAGATAGCATTGTCTCTCTATCATGAGCAAGACTTCCGCCAGTTTTGTCACGACTTAATTGGAGGTATAGTGTAGAGTAGCTAACTGGCCCTTGATTTGAAGGGAGCTCAACTCAGGAGGAGATGGCTTTCCTATAAGTGAGCTTTCAGTCACGGACCTTTTTAGAACAAATCATGTGAGTGGATAGGGGTTCAGTTGATATTTATTTATATACACACATAATCAAACCCATTCTTATACTTCATGAGCCTGTGCTGTAATTAAGAGACATACATATTAAACAAGTTCTGATACAAACAAGTTTCATATTAAACAAGTTTATTATCTGAACCAGTAGTTAACAAACAGCTACTAGGTACCTAACTCAGGAGTCGGTAAGTACTATGGTAGATGCACAAGAAATTTAAAAGACTGTATCTGCCATCAGATAGAGAGGAGACACACATGAAACAATTGGGTGGCATGTGCATCAGTAGTTGGACACTAGTCTAGTATGTCAATCCCATGGGCGTTTGGAGGAAGGAAGAGACACTGAGCTCCAGGTTGATCAAGACAGGCTTCAGGTGGGGTGACTCTGCAGGGAATCTATGTACATTCAGGGGAGAACCAACAGAACCATGAAAAAGGTGCTGGATACCTTAGGCAACAAGGCAGAAGGAAGCCTTCTTAAGCTACTGGTGATGTTATTTATGCATGTCTAAATTACATTCTGCTCTGGCTGTATTGGAAGTTTGTATTAAGGTAGGCATAGTCATTTGATAGAAACTATTTTAATGTAATAGATTTTCCCTTGTGCCTGTTTTGTTTGTTTGGAGACAGAGTCTCACTATGTAGTTCAGGGTGACCTTGAACTCACCAGTGTAGTTCAGGCTGGCATCAAACTGACACCAGTCCTTTTGCCTCAGCCTCCCAAGTGCTGGGATCACAGACATGTGTCCCCATACCCAGTAGAAACCATTTTATTAAAACTATACTAAGCTGGGGGCTGGAGATTTAGCTCAACGGCATAAACGCCTGCCTTGCAAGCACACAGTTGTGAGTTCGATCCCTGGTACCGATAAAAAGGAAAAAGACAAAAAAAAAGATAAACTAAAACTATACCAAGCTATAACGTAATATATTTTCTTAGAGCAGGTCTTCAATAAGATGGCAATCCACAACAAAATGGAAATAAGTGCTATGAAAAGAAAAAGAAGAAAGAAAAAGAAAAAAAAAAAAGGAAGGAAGGAAGGAAGAAGCAAGCAGGAGAGAACTCCAGAAAGTCTGGGGGAGGCAGGAAGTGGCCAATTTTAAGTCGAATCATCAGAGATGTCAGGGGAATGGCAGTATATATGAGTTAACCTGGTAGAGGTTAGTGAGCGATCTAAGAGATCAGCTAGAGAAAAGCATTGCAGATGGGAGGATAAGAAAGTGTGAAGACTCTAAAGTGAGAATGAGCCTGGCACGTTTATTGAGCAACAAGGAGATGTGTGGCTGGGGCAGAGTGAGCAGAAAAGCATTAGGAGCTGTGCATAAAGAGGGATGATGCTATTTGTGTGGGCCTCAGAGGCCAAGAAGGCATTTTGAGTTTTTAATTCCATGAGACAAGGAGTCATTTGAAGATTTTAGTAGAAGTGTGATAAGATCCAGGTTATATTTTAAATTACTATTCCTGTGGCTGTGTTTAAAGAGAACTATGAAGGGCAAAGACAGAAGACTATTAGGAGGCCACTACAGTTGCCCCAGCAAGAGCTGCTACTGCCTGCGCTGAGTGGGAGAAGCGGAGATGGTGAGAAGGGCCTAGATCCCGGATGTTGGGTGTGAAAGGAGGTGATGCTACTGCTGAAGTTTTTGCGTAGCATTGTGGACCATGACTATACAAGAGAATCTTCTTCCCTAGTTTCTAGAACTAGAGCCTTAACCTGGGCCTAAATGCCCCAAAAAGGAGTCTCCAGAGATTGATTTAGGTCATATTGGAGTTTGTCAAAGGGTTTATTCTCCCTCGTAATGACCAGACTTTATGAGCATTTTAATTTGGGTATACTAATGTATTCCTGTTGTTTAAATATGCTTGTGTTAGTTCAACTGTAAAATGAAAGCATTTTCCTAAGGATTTTTAAAGCTTTTACAATACTGAGTTGTTTTCTAACATATTTAACTTAACAAAACACTGTTTTAACCTTTCTTATGCCAGGTACGCTCCATGGTGAGTGACTTTGCCGTTTTCCTCACTATCTTCACAATGGTGATTATTGATTTTTTGATCGGAGTCCCATCCCCAAAGCTTCAAGTTCCCAGTGTGTTCAAGGTAAATGGATCTCAGGATGTTTGGTGCCTTCTTGTGGTTTCATAGAATCTGATCCCTGCTTGGTTTCAAAGGCCTTTCCACATGCCAATTGTTTGATAAGTTTTGTAGTTCTCTAAATATAAAACTTGTTTCTTATACCTTGCTATTCACAAAAGTAAATTCTTTAGGTCTGACTGTGTTCAGATCAGAAAAGTCAAGGAACAGAAAAATCAAGATTGTTTAAGGAATGAAAAAAAAACCCAAATATCATAAATACCATTTATAGTTAAATTTAAAATAATGGACTATCCTTGTTTACATAAACATGTACCAGATTCTGTGGAAACGTGGGTCCCTGGGACAAATCTAGTTAACAACACTTTTAGTGAACAGCAGCTGTTTCAGGGCACTAGGAAACACGGAACTGGTAACGGCCCCAAGCCCTCCTCTCAAGGGTCTTCCGATGTCGAAGGGAGAAGGGAAATGAACCCACGAGGGGCCTTGTCTGGAGTCCAGCTAGGACCCCTCCTAGAGTAATCAGGATATGTTTTCCGTGCTGTTGTTTGCTTATATAGTTATCTGTAATTTACAATGTCTTTCAAAACATATACATAGTACAAAACAAATGATTAATGCAGGGGACTCCAAATCTATTTGAGTTTGGCAGTATTAGGAAACAGAGAAGATAGAAAAGCTGTGTTCAGATTCACAGATCCCTCCCACCCCCGTTGGGTAGAAAGGAGAGAAGACCTGGTGTGCTTGGTGACTTCAAAAGAGTAAGGGAGTAGGGGATGGGAGAGGATTGTGAGGAGAAGGCAGACAGGAAAAAAGGCAGTCCCTGGCTCTGCAGGCCCCATTCCGTGGCCTTTGGCTTCCCTTTGTCTTTCTATATGAAAAAGGGCTGTTAAAAATAACTCTTTCCATATTATATAAAAATGTTTAATTTTGTTAAATTTGTTGAAATACTATCAGTTAGAAATGTGTGAGTTAACAAACAGCCTTTTACAACACCTGTGAGACTCTGGGCTTCTCATCTTTGTGTGAATAAACACAGTCAGCTTTCTCTCTAATGCCTCACTGAGGTCAGCCCTGCAGGAGGAATGGGTTTTATATAAAAACAGGTAATTTAGGATTATTAAGCAGTTCTTGGAAAATTTCCCTGATGGGTAGGCTTAAGATAGTCAGAAGTCACCAAATTTCTGGGCCATCTGGGAAGAAAGCCTCTGGGAGGAAGGAGAGATGAGAAAGGGATATTGGACAATGTCCAAGGAAATGTGGCTAATGAATGGGTTCGTTTTCAGGAAGCAGACAGGAAGTTTTTTCTTCTTTCCATTTTTCTCTTCCCCAGTAAGTGTATGACCATCAGCTTCTAGAACCCAGCCTGAAGCTGGGACAGTCACCCTTCATCCCTTCTTGTTCTCAGAGATGGATATGAGTACTCCAATCCATTAAATAAAATAGAATCATTTTGGCATAAACCTATGTACATCCTCCTGCATAGTTGAAATTGATTTTAGATTATTATAACACCTAATAAGATATGAATGCTGTACCAGTGGTTATGCTGTAGTGTTTAGGAATAATGATAAGAAGTCTACACATTCAGTGTACATGTAGTTTATTGCCAAATATATTCAGCCTGCAGCTGATGAATCAAAAAATATAGAACTCACAAATATGAGGGGCCAGCTGTGCTATTACCAGGGGCCATCATGTCATTAGGATTTAAAAAATTTTTGTGTTTGTCCAAGAACTTAACTGCTACTTGGAACATTGTTATTAAGGAAACATAGGTTCTGAAAGCCTTTAGAATCTAACCTATTCATAATTAAGGACTTACCAGTATAAGAGCCTTTGAACTTGAAAGTCCCAGCTAATGTAAAACTAAATACTCCAGATATAACAAATTCTGCTTTTGTTGTTGTTGTTGAGTTTTGGTTAATTCTGGGCCTATTTATGTCCCTGGCCTTTTTTTTAAAAAAATGAACCTTTGATTTATGACAGAGTGAATTATGGGATCCTCAATTGGAAATCCATGCAGGGGGAGATTGCCTACCTCACATCATGCACAATCAATTCTATATGACATTCTTCTTATGACAGGAAAAATCTAAAGGTTACAGAATACTTTCATGACCATGTGATAAAGATTTATTAAACAAGGTGAAAAACAAGAGCATTAACTCTCAAAGGCAAAAATAAGGAAAACCAAATGGGGCAAGGTGGCACATGTCTATAATCCCAGCTACTCCAGAGACTGAGACAGGACAAGAGGATTCCAAATTCAAGGCCAGCCTGGACAATTTAGTGAGTCTTTCTTTCCAAATGAAAAAGAGCCTATCCTGTAATCCCAGCACTTGGGAGGCTGAGGTAGGTGGATTGCTGCGAGTTCGAGACCAGCCTGGGCTATAAAGTGAGCCCAAGGCCAGCCTGAACCGCATAGCGAAACCCTGTCTCCAAAAAAAAAAGGAAAAAAAAAAAAAAAGCCTATCATAGTAGTATAGGCCTGTAATCCCAGTACTCTGGGGAGTAAGGCAGAAGGATCACAAATTTAAGCAGCGTAGGCAATTTAACAGGTTTAGCAAGAGCCAGTATCAAAAAAAAAAAAAAGAAAAAAAAAAGCCAGGTAGGGGGGCTCCACACATAATCACAGTATTGAGGGGGGTGAGGGCAAGAGGATCATGAGTTGAAGCCCGGCCTAGGCTTCATAGGGAGGCCATGTCTCAAAACACAAGCAAAACTGCACCCATGCATATCACTAGTCCTACAAACTGGTTCTCTGGGACTCAGATGAGGAGTTGGGAACATTTAAAGCAGTGCTGGGAGAAGGTGCATTCCTAAGGTAGAAGGGCCCGGCAGAGGCCCCACTACCCTAGGTATAGGTCCTCCACTACAGACTCAGCACAGTCCTGGGCCTGATGTGTCCTGGTCCCCAAAGCTGCCTCCCTTCTGGAATATGGAGGTTATGGTGGAGACAGAGTCTCCAGAAAGCATCCAGGACCACGGGGAGCTCGGGGAGGCCCCATTGGGGTCAGAATGGGGTGCAGGCTCTCCCAGTTCCAGGATATCACTGCCAGCAAAACAGGGACTCACAGGGCTGGGTGGGTGTGGAGGCTCATGGAAAGAAAGAAGTGGGTGAGCTCGGTGGGGGCTGCAGGCTGTGTAGACCCTGTATCTGCTGCACCCATAAGTGAGCTTTGACCATAGGTAGGTGGCCTGGCATCTTCTGAACCACACCGGCACTTGGTACTCCTTCAAATTCAGCCTGACTGCCAGGGCCGCCCAGGCCTCAAGGGAAAGTACCTGTCTATCTTGAAATGTTTTTCCAGCTTATGTGCTTCTTGCATAGATTTGGCAGTGGGGCCTGTACACAGGGCAATGGTGACTGAGACAAATGGACCCCTCCCATCTCCTCAGAGGTAGCTTTGAATAAATCCTTTTTCATTTTTATCAAACTATATGGCCTCCATTGATTTGGACAGTGGTGAGCAAATGAACCTGAGCGTATGAACCCAGGAAATCATCAAGTTACTGTATCCTGGCTCCTGTTCTGCCCTGCACCTCTCCCTCTGGCCTTCTATCCTCTCACACCATCTGCCAAACATGGCGACTTGTCTTCCCCACAGTACACTGGGAGTAGGAGCTGGGAATCTAGAAAGTCTGGGTATGTCATAGCTGCCCCAAGCTTTGTGAACAATTGTTTTATAGAAGCATTGGAGGGGTTTCTCAGTCAAAAAGTCCAAATGTAGCCATCTCGGGCTCTTTTCAAGCCTCTAGATTCCCCTGCACTGCTGATGGGAGGAGGCCTGTGGAGTGATCCAACCCAAGCCCAAGAAATTCAGGCAGCTGACTCCACTTTGCCTTTGCTTGTGTTGTGGACCCATGATGTGGCCTCCAGAGAGGAGAGGCGAGGAGAATGGTCTAAGTCAGCGGAGACAAACTTATGCTAGGCATGCTACAGTGGGCTGTACCATTAAGCTCTAAAAAGTTGGGCATCATTGCTCTAAGTTATTTATATTTGTCTTTGAAAGCGACTAATTTTTTAAGAACAGATTTAGTTGTTAATTATATTTACTTGGACTAATGTTGAGATAAGTTGCTTTCTTTGTGCAGAAGGATTTAGAGAATAAGTGGGAAGAAATGTAGGATTAGTAAATATTCCACAGCAAGTTGATAATTGAGGACTTACTATTTCAAAGAGGAGTTGGGAAAAGGTCATATATTCCCTAAAGGGTTGCTGTATTTATCTTTTTCAAAAAGGATTCATATTCAAATGAAAATAAAAAGAAATGTATAATTCTGATTCACTTTGATCTATTTTACCCCAATGACTGTAGTTAAACTAGAAAAATAATTTTCCTATTAGCCAACAAGGGATGATCGAGGATGGATTATCAATCCCATTGGCCCCAACCCCTGGTGGACTGTGATAGCTGCCATCATCCCAGCTCTTCTCTGCACTATCTTGATATTCATGGACCAGCAGATCACAGCAGTCATCATTAACAGGAAGGAACATAAACTCAAGGTAACAAGACGTTGTGACCTAGAAGAAAGCCATGGCAGCCTGTGGCATTTTTATTTTAGGATAAACCCATGTACACCAGGAACTTTAAAACCCAGGTAAAAAGTCTTAGGAAGGGCTCATAAAGGGGGTCTTCATTCTCTAATAACACTACTATCAAAGGTTGGTTTGGAGATGAAACTAGAGTGGAGCACTGTGGAATGATGTGCAAGAAACTTGGACTCCATTCTTCTTCTCTTAAACCTCTGGGGAAGATGGTCAGCGAGTTCTTGCTGTCCCTTCTCTAGTTATATGCTCTGAGTCCTCAACTATGTAGCTTGTCTTCCTAAGGTTTGAGTCAGAGCTTGGGCAACTGCATTTTCCTTGGGCAGGTATTCTTCCTTTAGTGTCAGTTACAAGGGTTTTCCAGATTGAACTTTGAACTGCAGAGACATTAGGTACTAGAGTTAGTTCTAGTGCATGAACTAGTGAGGTGCTTCATGTCTCCCATCTCTGTTCTTTCCTTGCTTAGACTAGGTAGCATTCAGAGCTGGCCGGGATCTCAGGTGTGTTGTAGGAACTCAAGAACATTTATCTCCCACTCTGTCTTAGTTACTTTTTACTGGTCGCTGAGACAAAATACCTGAAGCCCAAAGTTGAGAAAGGAAAGGTTTATTTCTTACAGTTTTTGGAGGTTTTAGTCCATATTCAGTTGGCTCCAAAGCAGGGTGACATGGCTGGGCCGCAATTCCTGGCGACTGCAAACAGCAAGGAGGAAACAGGCAAAAGAGCAAGACACACACACCTTCTTCCTGCCATTACGTTACATCCTGACTCCACCCCTAGGCCAGTGTAGCACTCACACTCCCAATCCAAGTGCTAGACAATGAACCAATCACAAATGCACAATGCAAATGCATGAGGCCTGGGGGCCACCAACATAAACCATGAGACATTCCTGTAAATGTCTACTAGAATCATCATGAGTTGGCCTCTAGTTACTTTTCCAGAGAATGGATTTTGGAATGTGTAAGACTCAGAGCAAACTGGGGGTACTTGGATAAGGAATGAGTACTGACACATAGGACACACTAAGATTCCCATTTTTCTTTTCTGTTTCTTCCTAACTTGGAGGGGTTGCAAGACTCCTGTGGCATCCCTGGACCCTTTCCTACTTGCCATAAAACTCAGAGGCCCTTAGCTCACGATTACATGCAGCACACTAGCTAGCCCTCCAATGATGACAGGTGCTCTTTTTCCTCACAGAAAGGCTGTGGCTATCACCTGGACCTGCTGATGGTGGCCATCATGCTGGGTGTTTGCTCCATCATGGGCCTGCCCTGGTTTGTGGCTGCAACTGTCCTGTCCATCACACATGTGAATAGTCTCAAGCTAGAATCTGAGTGCTCTGCTCCTGGAGAACAGCCCAAATTCTTGGGCATCCGAGAGCAGAGAGTGACAGGGCTGATGATCTTTGTGCTGATGGGCTGCTCAGTCTTCATGACAGCCATCCTAAAGGTAATTATTCATTCACTTGTGAAACAAATATTGAGTGCTTTTGTGCCAGGAATTCTGCTGAGTGTTTGGAATACAGTGGCAAACAAAACAGATACACATACAAATTCTTGTACTGGAAGAGCTTATTCTAATGGGGTAAGACATGTAATATTTGTGTAGTTAAGAAAATTAGTTAAGATAAATATGATAATTACAGAATATTATAAGTAATGTGAGATATATATATACATATATATGTATATATGTGTGTATGTATATATATATATATATATATATATATATATATTTCTTTGCAGCTATTGAGAATTAAGGGGTTCTATTTAGACCAACGTGACTTTGGGGTTACTAGGTAAAAGACTGCAAGAAGATAAGAAAAGGGCTGGGTATTTAGCTCAGTGGCACAAGTGCCTGCCTGACAAGCGTAAGGTCATGAGTTTGATCCTCAGTAAATACATAAATAAAAAGATAAAAGAAAAAGAAAAACCAAAACTGGGTTCAGGTGGAGCCCTCTCTCTCCAGATGGGAGGAAAAGGACTCTCCTCTTACCATAGGGGCATTTATTTATATATTTAGCAGCTTAGTGTCACATGACACCCCACTGCCTAGTAATCTGCATATATGGCTACCTAAGGGCCTGATTTGGGGAGCCTAGAGTCACTTTTTTTGCAGCTCACCCTAACTGCTCCCTACAAGTTAGGGTCAGAGAAGAGAGTATTTAAGGTAAGATGGAGCCAGCTGTATCATTGGTAGTGGAAGATGGCATGAAAGATGAGGAGAAAAGCAGTCACATCTGGCCCTGAAGTAGGAGAGAGTGATATGTGTTCTAGAAAATATCAGGGTCATGTGGCTCAACAATGCTGAGCAAGGCGAAAGAGAGATGAGTCTGAAGAGGAGGCAGGACCAGCTCTTCCAGGCCTTGCTGATGCTGGGAAGCTTACCTTTGGGAGTTTGAACAGGACAGGGCATGATTTGGTTAGGCGAGCATTTTTAAAAATCACTCCAGCAGCTGTCTAAAGAACAAATGCTTAGAATAGGAGAAGAATAGACACAAGATGAGAGGGGCAGTTACAGGTGAGAGATAAGAAGGCGTGGATGAGAAGGTGGCAGGGACAGATAAAACAGCATGGCTTCTACGTGTCTTCGAGGCAGATCTAAAGGTCTTGCCAGCTAAAGTGGATATGGAGGGGGGTAAGGAAAAACCAAAGATGCCCATTATATTTCTGACTCAGCCATCTGGTGAAGAGTAGTAATATTTCTTAAAATGGAGTAGACATTTTGATTTTGTGGCAAATAGGGTGATGGTAGGATTTGAATGAGAAGTCTAGAGTTATCTGAAGGAAGAGACCAGAGGGGGATTCTGGATTAATAATATAAGTATTATTTTTACTATTATTATACTATTACGAGTGGTACTGAAAGCTGAGAGGGTAGATGAACTCACTTGTGAAAAGGGTAGCTACAGAAGAGAAGAGAGGCTGGGGCGTGCTGGTGCATGCCTATAATCCCAGCACTTGGGAGGCTGAGTCAGAAAGATTGCTGTGAGCTGAAGGCAAGAATGAGATCCAGTCACTGTTCAAGGCCTAGTCTTGTTGGTTGGGCTGAATTATATAGCAAGACCCTGTCTCTAAATAAATAAATACATTGAGAGAGAAAGAAAAGAGGGTCCATTGAGAAGAGCAGACTTGAGAAGTTTGGTTGAGAAAGAGACAGCAGCAGAGCCTCAGCAAGAGCTGCCAAAGGGTCTGGAGGGAAATTGGAACTTATGGCGGCAGGCCGAGTGAGGAGAGTGTTTCAGGGACAGATTGGTTAGTCAGAAGATGTCTAGAAAGAGATGACAGTACCAAGGCTTTTGGATTGTGTCTGTCTGTCCACTCATTCCCAGGGAGGAAAAGCCAGACAGTGGAGAAATGTGAGAGCTATGATTTAACTCACCATGTAATCATAGCATTTCAGAACAAAATGATTTTTTATCATTGTTAGCTTCTACTTATAAGTTATTATATAAAGCCAGCAAAAACTAATGGAATTAGTTTATGGAATTCTTGTGACTAAGTTCATTCTCACTTTAAAAGTTCGTGTAGCATTTAACATGTCATGATACCAGATTTCACGTGTAGTCTTTCTGCCCTTTGTCTGCAGTTTATCCCAATGCCAGTACTCTACGGAGTTTTCCTCTACATGGGAGTTTCTTCACTACAGGGAATCCAGGTATTGCATAATTGAGCCCAGGTGGTGTCTTCTCATTGTGAGTTCACCTATCCTGACCAGGGAGGGACAGCTCTCTACGAAAACCACAGCCAGTTCTTGAGAAATTATTTCCCAGTCTTGTTTGGCTGGGCTGTTTTAGAAATTTCTTTGACTGTAGGACAAACTACAGTTACGTTGGCCTAAAAGTACAGAGACTTCTAGAATGACCTGAAAGATGTCATTGTTTTAGTCATTCACTGCTTATTCCAAAATTATTTGGTGTAATAAGCACTAGGTTTTTTGCCAAGTGCTGGTAAACCTGGACCTGGACGGTCAAGAATCAGACTCTCTTGCTGGGTGTGGTGGTGTACACCTATAATGTCAGCACTTGGGAGGCTGAGGCCTGCACTATGTAGTGAAACTTTGTCTCAATAAATAAATAAATAAATAAATAAATAAATAAATAAATAAATAAAATAAAAGAGAGAGAGAGAGAGAGAGAACCAGACTGTCTTCTATACATGGGTAGTACAGTGCTAGGCTAATGTATGAGAAAAGAGTTCAATTTCAGAGTGCTTTGCTGAAAAGAAGGGAGATTAATGAGAGTTGTTGCAGGCAAGCAGATGTCGTTTCCTGTTGCATTCTGCCTTTTTCTGTCCATCAGTTCATTCGTGAGAGTCCTTCTAGCCGAGAAAATTGGGAGTCATTGTCAATAACTTGGGCAGCCTAGATGATGCACGTCATGAATATGTCTTCAGTTGGCAACCAATTCTCATTTGTGTGGAATGTTCAGTGATCACTCTTACATACTGTAGTTTCATGTGACACTGGGCAGGTTATTATATTTAATTTCTGGGTCTCTTTTCCTTTTTATAATATAAGGATTATCATAGTTTCTATATGTTATGATGTTTCACTTTTTCTTTTCATTATAAATAAAAATAGTTCCAAGTTCCTCTAAAGAACAATTAAGAACTTAGGATTTGATAGTAAGCAGAAAGATGCAGTTGACTTACTTTGTTTCCATTTTGCCTGAGAAAGAGTTCTCTGTGGGATAGGAGGAAGAAGTCTGAACCAGAATTAGAAAAGATAGCTTCAGATTTTGACTGATACTTACGCTCTCACTGAGACTCAGTTTCCATTTCTGTCCAGGGGAAATAGTATTAACTCCTTTTTAGCAAGTGGTGAGATGAATAGTCTAAGAAGGCTTCCGACTCAGAGAGGCCTCCTGAAAATAAATGCTGTTTCCTTCCTCTCAGTTCTTTGATCGCCTAAAGCTTTTTGGGATGCCCGCGAAGCACCAGCCAGACTTCATTTACCTGCGGCACGTGCCGCTGCGCAAGGTGCATCTCTTCACCCTCATCCAGCTCACCTGCCTCGTCCTGCTCTGGGCCATCAAGGCGTCTCCAGCTGCCATTGTTTTCCCAATGATGGTGAGGCTTTTTCAAAAATATAAATTATTCTTGTTTTTTTTTAAATTGTGGTAGAATGCACATAACAAAAAAATTCCCATTTTAACAAATCCCTTAAAAAGAACAAGGAAAAACATTGGTGTGTCTTAAGTGTACAGTTTAAGTACATCGATGTCATGGTACCATTACTGCCGCCCATCTCCAGAACATTTTTTTATCTTGAAAAGCTGAAACTCTGCACCCATTAAAACCGTAACTTCTTACTCTTCTTGCCAGTTCCTGGGGAGCCACTATTCCACCTTCCATCTCTATTTCATTATACTGTATTTTATGTACATTTATTATATGTAAATGGAACTGAACCATATTTGTCTTTTGCACTTAGTTTAGCATCTTCAAGGTTTATCCTTTTTGTAGGATTATCCTTCTGCTTTTTTTTTTTTTTTTAAGAAAGTTTCTCATTATGCAGTTCAGGCTGGCCTTGAACTCAACATGTAGCTTAGGCTGACCTTGAACTTGCAGTGATCCTCCAGCCTCAGCCTCCTGAGTGCTGGGATTAGAGGCATGTGCCACCACGCCCACCAATCCTTGTGCTTTTTAAATTTGAATAATATTCCATTGTATTTAAGACCACATTGTGTTTTCCATTATCTATTGATGGGTACGTGGGTCTCTTCCTTCTTCTGGCTATTGTGAATAATGCTGTTGTGACCAAACGCAAACACACAGGTACGACCCAGCTGTCAGTTCCCTGGGGAATATAGCTGGGAATGGAATTGCTGGATCATATGGTAATTTTGTTTTACATTTTTTTCTCTAACTCCCTCGAGAATTAGACAAGGCTGTCCATTTTGTTAGACTCTGCATTTATGTATTACATTTAAGGATTAAATATGTAGTTAAGGAAACAGTAAATTCCTGCGAAGGAATCCCATCAAGCTTGGGTTTATTTGGAAAGTAGTCATTAAAATTGGGCCGAAATATGGTTAAATTTGATAAACCTGATTTGCTGCATGCCTGTCCAGTATCCAGATGTAGGTGATGAACACTAGTCTACCCAGGTTGTTTTAGATTGTTACAGTTCTCTGTCTCCAGTACTATGCTGCCATAAAGAAGGGAAAATTCGAGTCATTTTATAGGAAAAGGGAGGCACCTTGAGGCCATATGCTAAGTAAAATAAATCACATAGTGTGTTTTTAAAATGTTTTTATTTTAAAGATAATAAAACCCAATAAATAAATTGAATCAAAACAAAGCAGTAAAATTGGTACAGAACTTCAAAGTAGGATAATAGGAAAACAATGGTTATCATAGTATATCTTGTTATCTTCACAATAGTTGTCCATTCCATCAGATATAGCAAAATAAAACCAATCAAAACAATATTAAATAAAGCAAAATTAATCAGAACAAAACAAAAGTGAGAACAATATTGGATTTCAAAACCAAGATAGAAGGAAATCCCTCATAATTGCTATATTGCATAATGTTATCCTCCCTACAGATGCTCAGACCACCAGCCCCAGGACTGCAAACTCAAACAAACAATACAAACATTCAGTTGCTTTGACTTCATTTGCTATCAGCTCAGCTTGGAACCAGCTGGTTGCTTACTGGGGCTGGAGGTGGGGCTTCTCAGCCCATGTGCTGGTAGGCTCGGGAGGCCTATCTGACGTTTCCCTTCTTGGTCCCCACACGGCCTGCCAAATCACATTTAAATATCACATGGTTTCTCTAATATGAGAAACTCAAAATATAGATAAATGAAAGAACAAAATAAAAGAAAACAGACAGCTAAGGATAAACCTTTCTCAAATGGGAAGGGGACTAAGAGATGGAGGGAGGGGGAAGACGGGGAGGGAAAGAGGATGTAAAAAGAATTAAGATTGCGCCGGAGCTTAGACTAGGAGAATCAGGGTAGAAGCATCGCCCCTCCTGTGAGCAGCCTAAACCTGGTGATCCTGAGCAACAATTAAGAGGACAGCAACGTGACTGGCCTCTTTTCTCATTGAGAGAATTAAATTAGTTGCAGTCCGATTTGTAGGGTTGTTATGGTGATCATTAAATACTCTGTGTAAAATGCCTCCATAAGTAGCACAAAGATGATGTTCAGTAAATGGCAACTGTTAATGACTATTATGAGTTTGATGTTGCTGGAAAAACCCTAGTCCTCTATAAAAATAAGACTTGGCTTTTAATTCCAGAAGGAAATTAGTTCCTGTAACTCACTTTCTCCCTTTCATTTTTCTTTTAGGTTTTAGCTTTGGTCTTTGTCAGGAAAGTCATGGATCTTTGTTTCTCTAAGCGAGAGCTGAGCTGGTTAGATGATCTTATGCCTGAAAGCAAAAAGAAGAAGTTGGATGATGCCAAAAAGAAGGCCAAGGAGGAAGAGGTCAGAGTCCTTGTAGTCACTATACTCGGGGCCTCGAATTACAAAACATAGGAAACACCACATAAAGTCAGAATGTCTGGAATCCCAAGAATTATATTTAGGAGCTGGGGAGATTATCCAAAGGTGTTCTTAGCTGAGAATGGATTGAAGTTCTTTAATGCTTTTTTTAAAAAAAATTTTGAGGCAAGCTCTCACTATTAGTCCAGGCTGACACAATTTAAAGTCCTTGAACTCATAGTGCCTCACCACTCTGAAATGCTGGGATTACAGGCGTGCAGCATCATGCTTAGCAGACTGAGTGTTTTTGGATATGTTAATCGTAGTTTTCCCCTTTGTTTTCTGTGTCTACTCACCAGGCTCATACCTAGAATATGAACATAGAATCTGTTCTCATCAGATGCAGTGGCTCACATTATTCCCAAACATCTAATTTGACAAGTAAACTCCATTTTCTATGTTTTAGACTTATTTGCAGTTGATGCTGTTTAGCACATTGCAAATACAACTTGCATAGGACTTTCTGTTCTTCATTTCTGCCAGCACTCACACACTGTCTTTTCCAAAAAGGACCCTCAATAAATGGCCTACATTTGCAGGGAAAGAATGTATAGCAAAATGAACATATTTTCATATTGGACCACGAAATGAATGTGCTGGGAAGTGTTTCCACATATAATGAGTGCTCAAATAAATATACTTTTCTTTCTTTTTTTTTTTTTTGTCTTTTTCTTTTTTATCGGTATCGGGGATCGAACTCACGACTGCCTGCTTGTAAGGCAGGCGCTTATGCCGCTGAGCTAAATCCCCAGCCCCTGAAATATACTTTTCTAATATCTTGAATGTTTAAAAGCTTGTATTATTAAGTGTTAATAATTTTAAATACAAAAGCAATGGAAGAAAACTTCCCGAGCTGAGGGTTGAACTCAGTGCTTCCTGCAGACTAGATAATCGCTCTACCTCCACAGTACATCCCTAGCCAGAAAAAAAAGCTTTAAGGGGAATATTGATAGAATTCCTGCATAAAATGTGAGACTTTGGGCTGGGGATTTAGCTCAGTGGCTTAAGTGCCTGCCTACCAAACATGAGGTCCTGAGTTTGATCCCAAGTACCACACAAAAAAAAGTGAGACTTTAAGGTATCTGAAAAGTTTAAAATGGCATTCAAGTTGTGCTTAATATCTTTACTATTCAAATAGTTCTTTCAGGTGAATAAGAAAAATGGAATAAAAATAAGCAAGGGACATAGATAATTTACAAAAGAAGAAATACAAATGGCCAATACTTTGACAGAAAGCTCATTTAGCCAACAATCAAAGAAATGGAAATTTTAAAAAGGAGAACACATTTTTCACTTATCAAATTGGCAAGATTTTTAAAAAGAAAAAGAACAGTGTCGGTGACACTGTAATTGAAATTCATATACACTAAAAATGATAGTATAAATTGGATAAATTTCTTAGTGGGCAGTTTAGAGTAGACTCTTAAAAATGTATCTGCCTAAGCCAAGTACAGTGGCGGGTACCTGGAGTCCCTGCACTCAGGAAACAAACAGGAGGAGCTTTGAGCCCAGGTGTTCAAGACCGACCTGAGCAACATAGTGAGACCCTGCAACCCTATTTTTCGAATTTATTTTAAGAATGTGTAAGAAATATAGACAAAAGATTTTAATTGTATTTATATAAAACAACTTCAAAGAAGAAAAATTAAGAGTGAATGTGTGACAATTGAATATTGGGCAATAGTTTAAAATCTGGTTTTAAAGAACACTTAATGATAGATGGACATATTTATTAGATTTTATGTGTCAGAATGCAAAAGGAAACCTATAGTAAGAATCTACTTAATACCCACAAAAAAATTAGAAAAAGATCAGAAGAAAATAGAACAAATGTTGGTTGTGGTTCTGTGTGTACCTTTGAGTGATAAGCATAAATCTTTCAAAAATCTATTTTCCTTCTTTCCTCAAATATTTCCTGAATGTTTACTCTGTTCTCAGTTTCTAAATCCAGTAGTATAAAGACAGAGAGAATGTCTCTGGCCTCATGGAGCTTACATTCTCATGGAAGACACCATTTGTTTTATGACTATAGTATTATAATTTTATATAGATATATAATTATATTTATAATTATATACAATTATATACAATATAAAATTTTAGGTGATGAAATGTTTTAAGAAGAATGTAAAGGGTGAGGGAGTTACTTTATTTAGAGTGATTGCAGACGATTCCTCTGCAGAGATGTCTGAGCAGAGCCCTGAATGGAGTGAGAGGCGTTACATGAGAATCTCCATGAGAGCGTTCTAGGGGAAGGGAATAGGCATGAAAAGGTCTTGAAGCATGAATGAGCTTGGTGTACTTCAAGGGTGCCAAAAAAGTCAGTAAGGCAGGAGGCGAGAGAGTGACAGCCTGGACACTAGGAAAGGGACTGTGGCGCCAGTTTGGAAAAGAAACGATGGTGCCTGGGCTGAGGCAGAGGTGATGACAGTGACTGAATCTGGGACTTATTTTGAAGATGGGAGGTCAACAGGTCTTCCTAGTGACCGGTGGGCACAGGTGAAAGAGATGAATCAAGGACAACTCTATATGATTCTTACCAAGACGAGCAAGACCAAGAAATAGCAGATTTGGAAGGAAAAATCAAAAGATTTCTTTGAGTGCTAAGTTCAGGGTGGCTGGTAGACATTGTACTCCTTATTTTCCAAAATTTCTGAGCTAAACATGTATATTTGTTAAGACATGTGTGTAAAATTATTTTAAAGGCTAAATGAAATAGAGATTTAACCCCAAAGTTTCACTACCTCAATATCCACCATTTATGTTCATTTATGCTCTCTTCAAATCTTTAACATGGTTTTAATACAAGAACCATAATTATATATTTTTGATGTATATCTATGTCTGCATATATATAGAGAGAGATAGATAGATATAGGTATACAGATATTCTGATTTCACCCTCAACTTGATTTCATAATACTTTTGTTTCTGTGTTTTTACATAGTGCATTTATTGTTTTGATGAATATATAATATTCTATACTATTATAGTAATAACTTAAGTATTCTTCCCTTAGTAAAATGTTTAGTTCTTTTACATTTTATTATTATACTACTTTAAACAAATACTTTTTAATAAAAACTGCAATTATTTCCTTTAAGTTAGGAGTATTATTTGCAAGAAAATACTTTGTTATGGAACAGTGTAAACATATACACAAGGAGAAAAAAAGTCAGTGTTCATATTTCCCCAATTCTCTTATTATGTTTTTTCTGTATTATCATTTTTAACAACTTATTTTAATTGGTATCTAAAGAAGGTTCACAAATTGTAATTGATTCATATATTGTTCTCCCTTTCTATTTTTTTTTTTTTCTTTTTACTGAAGAAAGAAACTAGATTTTTTTTTTTTAACCTATATGGTCTGCACCATGTGGATTTTTCTAAATATCTTCCTTGGTGTCATCTAACATGTTCTTTTATTCCCAGTATTTCCAGGAAATTGATCACTGAATCTAAAGGCTTACTCATATTCAGGTTTTTAATTTTTTCAATGCTATTCTATGTGTGCAAATATGTGTCTCTTTTTTCTATGATGAGTTAAATCTGAATTATACTTTTATAATGAATATGAGAAAATTAGGTAAAAATTGTGGTGAAAGAAAAGTGGGCTTGCTCTTGTTTGGTCCAAGATAAAAATAATGTCTTCTTTTGTTTCAGGAGGTTGAGAAAATGTTAGAAATAGGGGGAGACAAGTTTCCCCTAGAAAGCAGAAAGTTGCTAAGTAGTCCTGGAAAAAACAACAGTTTCAGGTAAATCTCCCAAAACAGCAAAGAGTTTACTTTTGGGGTATTCTCTAAATGTTCTGGTCTTGTGGTTGGGTGTGCTGTCAAAATTCCAGCTGCTGGTATTCAGCTTTTTCTGTTTCACCTGTGGACAGTGCCTTTTCTGTTTCATTGTGAATCAAAGGCTTACTCTGTGCCTTGTACTCTGTCAGATACCAGGAGTCACGGGAAAAGAAAAATAGGGGAGCCAGAGCCCTGAGTGTCTTCCTCTGTGGCAAGGCTATGCATAAAGGTTTCCTCATGTGCTGTCCCTCAGTCTTTACAACCATTTTCTGAGGTCAGTCCCTATCACCCTTTGAACAAGTGAGAAACTGAGGCTTACAGAGGTTTAAGTAATTTGCCCATGGTTATGATGCTAAGCATAAAAATTAAGAGTCAAACCCAGGTCTGTGCATTCCTTTTGCCCATTTTTTTCACCACCACTTCCAAAGGTAAGTAGGGCTGGGTCTTCAGGTCCAAAGAGTTTCCAGCATTATGGGCGTAAGATGCCTACTTTTGGGCCCGTCTTTAGACAAAGACAGCCCATTCCAACCCAGCTGATGGCATTTGTAATTCAGGGAGCCAAGGAGAAAATCAACTGGAATTATAAAAAGGCATTATTTCTGCCAACCAGTTAGCCCCTTTCTTTATCAAACTTATTGATTGCCACAGGAAACTAACCTGGTTCATGTGTGGTTTTACTCCTGGCACTAGTTTCCATTTTGGAAGAGGAATACATTGTCTAAAGGAGCCTAGAGGTCAAGAAAGGAGTAGAGCAGGAAAAAAGTAGATGATCTAGGTCCTTTTAAATCCTGGGAACTGACTGATCAATGGGCTGGTTTATATTGTGGGGTAGATTAGGAAACTCTTTTCTTTGGTCCCCAATAACCTTTCTGTAAGTCTTTGTGCAGGAGCCATAGGCTTTGAATTCTCTGGCAGCACAGGAGGAGTAATGTTCCTTCTTTAGCAGAATGTTTTCTTCTTTATTGGTATTTTTAAAGGAGCCCCTCTAGGGGCTGGGGATTTAGCTCAGCGGCATAAGCACCTGCCTTGCAAGCAGGCAGTCGTGAGTTCGATCCCTGGTACCGATAAAAAGGAAAAAGACAAAAAAAAAAAGGAGCCCCTCTGGCCTATAAAAAAACTCAGCTTCTCTAGGGGACCAAGGGCCAGATTTAAGGTCTTGATTCTCCACTTACTGCTGTTTGACCCTAGCCAGACACATAGTCCTGTGAATTTTAATTTCTCCACCATCACAGTGAGAATGCTATTAACGTCTATTGCTGTGATGGTTAAGGTAACCCAGTGTAAAAGTCGTTTGTAAACTACAAATGGAAACAGTTTGGCTGTGTAAATGAGAAAATGAATGAGGAGTGCCTGGCACACAGTAAGCATGACCTAAGTAGCAGCTCCCGATGCTGTACTATTGGCATCATGATGTCGTCAACATCTGCAGTGAACTCTCTTGGAGTAGCAGCACCACCTGGGATACCAGCCTGGCTGTTTGCTTCTTTCTATTTCAGTCTCAGTGGCCTTGGGAACCAGACTCCATCTGATTGCTAGGGCTCTTGAGAGCTATTAGCTGGGCTCCCTCAGACCCAATCGTTTCCCTTCTGACGGGGTGGTGGTCATTAAGACTGAGATACGTATTTTGCTTATATGTCTAACATTCACTGTCCAAAGCATTGATTTCAGATGTGACCCCTCTGAGATTAATATATCCGATGAAATGCCTAAAACCACGGTCTGGAAAGCTCTCAGTATGAATTCTGGAAATACAAAGGAAAAAAGGTAACGGGAACTGCAACTTGTGATTTTTATTTATTTCTGACTTTTGAAGATGACAGTAATATTGAAAGTAAAATGTGATTTAGCCCTTGGATTGAATTTTCTAATAAACAGCACTTCCAAGACTGCTGCTAACCCCTGAAAATAGCTGTAAGCCTAAGGAGAAAAAAGTAAAAATGGCTTCTAAATATTTAAAGACAAGGACATAATTGCCCATTTTCATAGATCCAAAGTCAGGATGGAATTATTTTGGAATGTAAATTTGCTTTATGTTTATCTTCCTTAATGGTCTTCATACTTCTTATTTTGAAATCTGAAGGGCATCTCTGGTACTACAAGTACACAAACTGGAAAATTGCTCAAAGTATCTACTATTAATATCAGTACAAACAAATAGTATTGATACTAACTTTAACCTATTTAAGTTATTCCATAATGAGAATTACTAGCTGGGCATGGTGGTGTACATTTGTAATCATAGCACCTTGTGAGGCTGAAGCAGGAGGCTTATAATTTTAGGCCTAGCCTGAGCAACCGAGTAAGTGGCAAGACATTTTCTCAAAATAAAAAAAATAATAATAAAAATAAGAAAAGGGCTGGGGATATAGCTCAGTGTGAAGGCCCTAGGTTCAATTCCTAGTACCACCCAAAAAAATGGTTTAATAAAAAAGAAATCCAAGTTTTCATAATGATAATTATTGCCAAGATTTCAAAATATTAAATTATAGGTATCTTTTTATTTTAATATTTTATTATAAAAGATAATATATATTATATATAATATATATTTTATATATATATATATAAAATTTGTTAGTACTTTAGATCAGTTTTGATCAGGTTGATAAAGAAAATAAAGGCTGGGGATTTAGCTCAGTGGCATAAGTGCCTGCCTGACAAGCCCAAGGTCATGAATTTGATCCTTGGTACAAAAAAAAAAAAAAAAAAAAAAAAAGGAAAAAGAAAATTGAAGGACTTTAGATGTTTTTGCCTGTAATGAGGTAGGCTATGTGTTCAAATTTCTTGAAGAATTTAGTGAAATATGGGTTAAATATTCAGAAAACTGAAGGCAAAACTGAAGCCTTATTAAAGACAGCCTTGAGGTTAAAAACAAAACAAAAAAATTTAAGCTAGAAAATCAGGAAATCTGTTCCTGCCCTTAATTCCATTTATAAGGTAGCATACCACTATTTTTGACATTGTTTACTTGTCTGTACAATGGTATAATAATGAGGTTGCTCTGAGGAGAAGTTGAAGTGATTTGAAAAGTCACAGCCACCAGTGGGTGCTAATGGTTATTTCTTCATCAAATGGGTTAAAATAAATCTGTGCTGAAAGTGAGTGAAATATAGAATCTTATTTCCTTCAGAGGAAAATCCAGGCAGCTGTCGAACTGTATACCGCACAGTTATTTTTAGTTGAGAACTAGTCTACTTGTAAATGAACTTAAAATACAGCCAAATCCAAATTGTGGTGGCATCTTCAAAGTATTGTGTTAAAAGCAGGAATGAATCATGTGTTCCCTTTTTGTCTCATTGTAACACTTTTATTCAGTCTCTTCAACTAAGAGTCTTTGCCGGGATGGAAGATTTGGGCCATGAGGTGCTCAGGGAAGTTCTGATTACAGAGAAAATGGTGAGTCTCCCGGAGAAGAATCATGACCAACTCTGGCCGCATCTTTGGTCATCTCAAGCCTTGCCAAAGCATTCAGTCATTGCTGGCGTGCACTGGAGGGCAACCTGCCATCCCCAGACCCAGCCAGGTACCAGATGCAAGCGTGAAAGCAGAAGACCACTTCCTATTGGTCCTTCTCTTCTTCCTTTCTCATCAGAGCTGCTGCCATAAAAGACCCAGCTTCCCATTTTTCAGACATTTTATCTGAAACTCTGCTAGCCTGCTGAGCTACATGGGTCCATTCTACCACTGAGGATTCCTTCAGTGAGGTCCCTCTTCCTAAGGGATGAATGGGAGATTAGCAGGAGAACAGAAAGAAAAGGGGAGGTTCCCAGGCTTATTGGTATCTTTGAGCTCCTAGGTGGCCCTGAGTCTCAGCTCCGTTGCCCATCCTGGTTGGAGGAGCTAGTGAGACCCCAAGGCTGTCAGGGGTCTGCTAGCAGGAGGTGAGCCATCTGGGCTTGGCAGTACCCACAACAATCAGGATATGCCTCTGACCTGGAGTGTCTTTGTCATTTAGCAGCACTCTACACAACTCAGTGAGACCTTTGGAAGACACAGGGTCAAGGAGTACATTGAAGTTGTTCAGCTTATTTAGGAAAAGGCTTGAGGGAAAATTAGTAATGATGACTGAGGATGAGCAGCTTCCCTTGGTTTTTATGGAGGATAGAGTAAGAGAATGAGCCTGCATTGCTACAGAGGGAATTAGTTTAGATACCAGAAAGGATCATAACCTGAAGGTTTGTCATAGTGTGTACTTTCTAGATATCTAGAAAGATTTGATAACAGTTGTTTGTGAGTAAAAAGAGAGATATGGTGTTTTTATTGGCCATTTCATTGGACTGTTCGATGTCTTGCTGCTGCCTTTTGAGGAAATACTCTAATTCCATCCTGGAGAAATCCAAGTGCTTATGTACTGTCTCCTTAGCTGCCTTAGTGAGCCATCATCAGCTCAGTGGACCAAACCACCATCAGCCATGTGGGTTCTTCATCATGGATTTCTTGTGGTTGACAAATGTTCTGGTTCTTAAAGAGTCACCCTGAGAAGTGAACTGTAAGTGGTGAAGTTAATTCCAGTATTTTAAACTATATTTATGATTTTTTTCTTCTATTTTGCAATTAATGCCAAAGGCATATATACCTTCCCTGCCTTTGTGCACAGAATGTCACTAGCCAGCCCATTAGCACTCAAGGAATTCAATCCTATTAGTTTTCTATCCTGGAAATATCTTTGTACAGTGGGAAAATTCCTAGTGGGATTTATGTTCATAGATGAAGAATTGACAATATCATTTTATTGAGTTTTGTATTCCTTAAACTCTTAGAATATATTAATATAGTCTAATCTTACTCTAAAGACTCTTGACTAATGTTGTAAGAACCCTGAGTTTTCCTCATAGTTTCCTAACTTTTAGGGACATAGTTATTTTAATGCAAAGGTGATTTTCAAAATGTTTAACAATTGGCACTGGGCAGACACCTGTCACTCAGAATGAGTGTCAACTGCAAACGAGCAGTGTGTGTCACTGCACCAACGCCCAGAGGCTGAGGGTCACACTGCTTTCAAATATAAAAGTGGTATCACTCTGAATTGTGGATATTGTTTCTGTTTTGTCTGATCTGATTTCTAGTCACAAGGCTGTTTTAGGACACCTGTGGCTTCCCTTCACATGGTACAGACAGGATCAAGAATGTTTGTTTGAAATATATGGACATTTAAATCTTTGTGAGCCAAAGCTTCACATTTTATCACATTATAGCAAATCCGTAATTATACCCCTTACCTACTTAGTGCAGAAAAAAGCAAAAGGCAGCCCGTCAGGAGCAAAAGCTTCTTACTGACTTTTCCTTTCTATCCCCAGCTGCTTTCTTGAGTTTGCTTCTGTTTCATCATTTTTGTTCCCTTAAAACAGGCTCCTGTTTTTGCTCTATCTTGCCTCTCCCATAATTTCCCTCCACCTTCTGTGCAAGGAAGTTGGTGATTACGTCACCTGTTTCCCTCACCTCACTGCACCTGGAAAGGATGTCCAGGGAAGAGCCCATCGTGCGCCAAAAACAGTGATGGAACCCATCAGAAGAATGTCTCTCCCAATGCACTGATGTCTTGTGCTTGCTTATATCTGCTAAGCTGCCGGAGAGTAGGGAAGCAGCCCTTGTTAACTTTGTGTGATGCAGTCATGGACCACATGCACTTCTGAGTCCTTCCCCAGCAGGCTCCCAGGTCACTGCATTGCATGAATGGTAGCTGTTTTGGAAGGCTTTGTTAATAGGCTGTTAGTTTTTCTCAAGCGATTCCCAGACCATTTTTACTACATCTAATGATTGGAACCATCTTTTACTCTTACTATCTCCTCTCTCCTAGTTCTTGCCAAACACTCATCTCCAGTCCTAGTTGCTTCCTTGCTTAGATCTGTGGCTGATGAGCAAGAAGCAAAGTTAAAGTGGGCATTAGAAGCTGTGACGGGGAAGCAGCACAGTGCGTATGCATGCGTGTATCAGTGAGTAGGAATGCAGACACCAGTGATGGTCAGTACTATTTAGCTTTTGTGCACCAAGCTGCAAAAACACCCAAAAATGTAGTCATTCTGTCATCTGGAGCATTTCCATCTCAGATGTCTCAGATAAATAGCTTCAGGACAAATGCAAGCAGATTAATCTGTGGAAAACATGAAGACTTAGGAATAGAAAGCAAAGCAGGTTACCAGTAATTTTCATGTTCATATTTTCTTGGGCCAAAGAAGTAGTCCCCTCTTTCACAACAGTTTGAGTGTTGCTAGGTCAATGCCCTGGCAGACTGGTGGTATCAGTGTAAGGAAGGAGAGAAGCCAGGGATTTAAGAAAATGATGATAGGTAGAATCTTGGTTCTAAGGAAAAAGAATTATAATTGCTAAGTGGGCATATTGCCTTCTGGTCATACCTGTAGAGAAGGGCTGGTCTAGAAGGGTAAGTCCAACCTGCAGCCCACCGGTTATACGTGCCTATGTTCACATTTTTAAAATTAAGGAAGTTGTGTTACATATATACGTTCATTGTCTATTTTATATGCAGCCAAAACAATTTTTGTTCTCTGAGACCCAGGCAAGCCAGGTGTCCACAGGTTTCCAGTTTCTGAAGAACTGTCAAGAAATCTTTCCTTTATCACATACATCCCCTACGCCTGTCCTTTTATTCATAGAAACTTGCCTTTGGGATAGAAGTAAACCATGTTTTTCCAAAGACAAAGTAAAAAGTCATTCTTTCTTTTTGGCTGTGATGTAACAGCCTTTTCAGTTAGTCATAAATGTTGGATAAAAATTTGGTATATTCTAAGCCTCACTTATCATAGCTCAAGCTATGATAATTATGACCTTTTCTATGGTCTTGGGAATCTGTAGTTTCTGGTCATCCAAAAATGAGTTTTTCTTCTACTCACTTTATTTTTTCTACTTGCTCAACCCTGCAGGCCTTCCTCTCAGTAATCAAATCAGTGATTTCCCCACATCTACTCTGTTGATTTCAATGCTCTGCACCCCAAGTTTTCTTGAAGCATAGGAACAGGATTTGTCCCAGAGCCCCAAATGCTGGTTTTAAAGCCAGCACTAGAAACACCATCCAGTATGTTTTCTGCTACTCTACCTTTGTCAGTGTCTCTGAAGTTCTTTTGCTGAGAGGTCTTGTACACAGTCACATTTGCTAGTTTGTATTGCATTTTTCTCATGCCTCTCAGGTTCCTAAGCCACATTTGAGCAGTATATCCAGGAGCCCTGCATTGACTGTTCTCAGCCCACTTTTCTTTGGTGGTGACTGGTGGGCTCCCCTAAGGTGGAAATCCTTTTGGTAGGTCCTGGCTGGGCAAGCGGCATCACCCAGTTCTCACCTTCACCTTTTCACATATGAGTCCCTTTTTCCTCTCTGCCTGGTCGTCAGTCTTTCACATTCTCCTTAAACAGAAGTTCTTGATCAGAGTCCTAAAACCACCACCAGTTGGGGTTGTGAGCTCTTTGGGTTGGTCTTGGAGCTTCTCAGAAAAGGGATTTTACAGTTATTTTCCTTAGAGTGAGGGACTGAGGATTTTCAAGCCCTTAGATTGCTCTACTCATCAGTGTAAACACAAGACTTTCCATAGCCAAGTGGAAGGAATTTTTCCACTAAACCTATTCTTTATGCTTCTTAGTGTACCAGTCTCTTAACATTAATTCTAGAGAATGGCTGGCTGACTCTTTTTTTTCATCAGAAAGAAGGGTAATTTTTATAAACAAGAGAAGTGTGAAGTAACTATATCACTGAAGTACAAAAAGAGGGAAAGAGTGTTATGTGAACCTTTTCAGAGGAGGATTCAGGAAGCAGAATGATTCATCATAGTCATGATTCTTTTAGGAGATTCTCTGCTCAAAGGGAATGGAATGGTTTCTGATCCTTCTGAAAAGAAAAGGACTAATATTTTTCTTAAGTCTAATCCACTCTCAGCTTTGGAGAATTCAGAACTTTTTCTTCTAGCTGATACATTAATATTTCCCAAGAAAGAGGGAGAACCCACTCCCTACACTTCTCGGAGCCCACCAGAAATGAACCTGGGCTTCTCTTAGCAGGTTCTCAGATGACTTTGACTTGCAGGTTTTTTACATGTGCAATAACGCTGGAAACAGAAGCAGCAAACTGAATGTGCAATTACTCCTTGTGTGAAAGAAGCCAAATCCCCTTTCTCTTCTTCCTCCTCTTCCTCCTGCTCCTCCTCCCTCCTGTGTTCACCCCTCTGGGGTGATAAGCCTCCCTCTTGTTTCTCTGGTCTGTCTGATTGGGTAGAAACACTGCCCTTTCAAGCTAATGGTGTCAGGTGGAGAGCAGAGCAACCTTCCCACAGAAGGGGACAACTCGCGGTGCTGGTATGTTTCCTTTATTTTCTATGTTCTTCTTTATAGTAGGTCTCATGTAGAGATAGAGATATTTTTGTTTTAGAGATTCCAAAGTATATATATATTTTTAGTGTAAGAAATGTAGCCCTTTCCACATTCCATGGTGTAGATAGAACTGGGAATAAATGTTTCATTGTGATAATCTCATAGCAATTTTTGTGGTAGGAATAAGACCCCTTTCTGATCTGTTTGTGACCCTGCAGCTCCTAGACCTCTGCCTACCCAAACTTGTGTGTGCTCACCTCGATGGGTGGAAAATAAAGTCTGTATCCACTGTTTGCTTCTGTGGTGTTCTTTGGGCCTGAGTCAAGGGCTGGGTCAGTGCAAGCAGTTCAGAGCTCATGAAGAACAGCAGTGAAGGTGGGGAAACGGGGAGCGGTCTCTGCTGAGAGGGGGTGGGTGCACCTCCCCTTGCTGCAGGTCCTGACCATAGCCCTGCCGCAGAGCCAAGGCAGTCACATGGCGCCATCTTGGGAGACTGCTTAAGCAGAGAGGAACAGGACAGCAGGAAAAGAAAATCCATTTTGGAGAACCTCCCAGGCTGTTTAGAACAATTGCTAATATATAGGAATTCTCCACTGCCTCAAAATCCAGATTTAAATCTGCTTTGCCACCAGAATGGGGTTTTGTGGGGGCAGAGGCATTTGCTTCTCTCCTCATGTCTCATTGTTGGGTGACTGAAGAAAAGGGGAGAGGAATATAATGGAGTAAGTGCAGCAGCCTCAGTGAGCATGAAAGGAAAGGTGGGATGGGGGGTTGGTCAGTGAGCTTCATGGAGTGACAAGAAATGCACTGTGGACACAGCATGATGTGAGAGGCAGTGCACGCCGTGGGGCTTCCGTCTGCAGACACGGCTTCCTCTAGCTCGGAGGCCACTTGCTGTCTTTTAGCTTTCAAATCTTCACAGTACGTGGTATATCCTTTCCTCACAAGACACAGTCTTGACTGCTTGAGTAATGCATAGTGAATAGGAAGGAGTTCTCGCGGGACCCTGAGAGCCATCTCGGGCTGTGGAGTCATGGGAGTACTGGTGGGGCAAGAGGGTTTTCCACAGTCGCACAGGCAGGGTTGTTAAGCCTCCAGGCTGTTAAGGGTTCCACTAATTGATATATGAGAACTGCTTAGGATAGTACCTGGCTCATAGTAAGCAGTAAAAAATATAAGTAGGTGGTTCTTGGATAATTGAACTCAGCAGTAATCCCATCCGAGCCTCTCTGGAGTTCAGACCTCTTTGGTCAGCCTCTTTGCAGTTCCTCTTAGTTTCTGCCTCATAATCACAGATGGCTCCTGAAGCTCTAGGCATCATATCATTAGCCAACATAACATCCAAATTCTGGAAGGGATGAGCATTTTTCTAATTCTCTCCTTTTCCCTATCTTTCTCCCATAACGATAAGATCTTTCCCAGAAGCACCCCATCCTTCTGCACATCATTGGCCAGAACTGGATCACACCATTAGTTAGGATGGGAAGGGGATATGATGACCAGGGATATGCTGGTGGACCAGTTAGGCTGTATCCTCTCAGAGTGGGTCTCTTTCCTGACTATAGTGCTTCCGCAATACCTGTACAAAATCAAGATTCTGTTAGTAAAGAGTAAGACAGGACTTGGAAGTGATAAAATATTCAAAAGTGTCTACCACTGAACCCAGGAGAACCTGAGCCCTAAAGCCTCTCACAGAGCTGGAGATACACCACAGAGCCATGAACCTCAGCAACAGGAGGCCAAGCAATTTCTCTGACGGCCTGTGGGTCTCCTCCCTGTTCTCTGGCTTTCCCTTAGTTTAGATTCATCTGGGAAGTTTTTTTGTTTTTTAATTTTTGTTCATTTGTTTTGAGACAGGGTCTTGCTATGTATGTAGTCCAGGCCAGCCTTGAACTCACTATGTAGCTCAAGCTGGCCTCAAATTCATAGCAATCCTCCTGCCTGAGGCCCCCAAATGCTGAGATTATAACATGTACCACCACATCCTGCTCATCTGAGATTTCTATCCTACCAGTCTCTGGTTCCCACTCCACACCAATTAAATAGAATCTCAGGGTGCGAGCGCAGGCCCCGCTATTCGTCATCTGCTCTGCAGATGATTCTTAGGTGGCAGTAGGTGAAGCATCAACTGCCGTGCTGCTTCCCCTTTGCCTTGGCTCAGCCCTCCTGTGTGTACTTCACCTCCCGCCTGCTTATCCTCACCAGCTCTGTCGTGTTCTCCTCCATCCCAGCAATGCTGCAGTGCTGTTCTTCCTGCCCAGACACTAACAGCCTTTACCACCTCCAGATTCTCTCAGCTTCAACCCCCATTGCTCACAGCTCCACTGTCTGTGTTGCCAAGAGGATCCCAGAGACTAAGAATGTGATTGGTCCCCTGCCCATCATTCCTTCGCAGTCTACACCGCAGGTTCCTTTGGAGATGGAGCTGACCAGGAAAAGACAAGGTCCAGTGGTAAAGAATATGGCTGATGGGCTGGGGATCTAGCTCAGTGGCATAAGTGCCTGCCTGGCAAGTGTGAGGTTGCAAGTTGGATCCCTGGTACAAAAAAAAAAAAAAAAAAAAAAAAGAATAAAAAGTGAATATGGTGCTTGAGGGATGTTCCTTCCACAGGAGCTGAGTCCTGTCAGTGGTCTTAGCAGGACACAGTGCTGGGTGCCTAGTTCTCTTTGATGATCAAAGGCTGTTCTCAGGTTACAAACTTGCACATAAATTTCCCCCTTCTACCTTTTATCTGTGTTTAATTACAAGGACACACAGACACACACTTGCAAGAAAAAACATGCAAATAATTACACTGCCTCTGGCCAGACATCCCTGTGTCTCACTTCCTCGTGATGTCCCTGCTCACTTTCCCATCACCAGGCTGGAGGCACAGAGTGGGGACCTTTAGAAGAGGCAATGGGTCAGGAACAGCCTGCTTGAGTTCAAGTCCCATCTTTGCTCCCACAGGGGAGGATCTTGGCCAGTTTGCCTCGGCCATGGCTCAGTTTCTTCCCCTGCAAAACTAGATTGCCATCTACTTTATAGAGTCAATGAGGTAGACTCCTCCCCTTGTGTCCCCTGTGCCTCCAGGAACAGCAAGTTCCTTCTCCCACTGTCCCAACCTTGGGTCTGTAGTACGTGGCAGAGTGGTCTTCTGAGTCCCAGGGGAAAGAGTCATGATTACTGTCCCTTTTCTGTGCGTGACTTATAGGAGGAAAGACACCTTACTTGAGCCTCCTGGTCTAGGCATGTTCTCTAGTTCAGCTTCTCCCTAACTTTTCTTGTAGAGTTAGGGAATGAGTGCCTCATTTGAGGGAATCAGCTTTATTGGGCCACTTATCTTTTTATAGAGAAAAGGAGGGTGAGTAGAAGATTCCCAGGCCCCTAGAGGGTAATAATCATTTCGCCTCAAAAATTACACAGTTGAGTATGATTTCCCTAATAGCTTCAATGGGCATGAAAAAAAATGCCTGGGCTTGACTATCCTGGCAACATAGGTTTTCCAGTAACTAGGGCTATCTGATTCTAGCATTGATTTGGAATCATAAGGCCTCTGTGCCCTGTTTTAATAGTTTGATCATCAGGGGCTGGGGATTTAGCTCAGAAGTGCCTGCCTGGCAAGTGCGAGGTCATGAATTCGATCCCTGGCACCAAAAAAAAAAGCAGGGTCAAAACACTTGATATGAGTCACAACAGTGGCCAGCTTCTGTGGAGTGTGTGTGTGCTGTGTTTATCACAGGGACAATCCCTGATCTAATCCTTACAACACATGTGGTGGGTCCTATTCTTTCTGTAGCTGAGGGAACGAAGCTTAAGATGAAAAAAGTTCCTGAAGTTCACACAGCAGGTGAGCCGCAGAGCCCGAGGTGTTCAGAGTCTGTGCTCTTGGCTATCACTTTCTGCTGACTCCTTAAGTTGCTAGCTATGAGGTCTGCATCTAAAACACTTACCAGCATATGCAGAAAGGTTAAAGTACAAATTGAAAAGTGAACACTAGGGAAATGTGAAATTGGAAAACATAAAGGTTATATCACAACTGGCAGGAGAAGTGAAAAAAATAACTCAAATTTTGGGCAGGGGGGAATCGGGTTGAAAATGACAAAATAAGCCAATGCACATACCAGCTTCTCAGAAATAAATCCCATTGTTCTGTGTCACTAACATGCATTAATTAGAAGACTCTGATTCTTATTGCAGAATTATCCCACAAACCTAAATTAAGAGTCATGCTGTAGAAAGCACATGTGAGGTCATAGCAGGTGCACGTCATTGGTTATGAATGGCCAAGGGGAGTGGTGACCAAGTTGGTGCATCCAGGAGAGTCCTCCGGAAGAGCGCTGGGGCTCGTTACTAAGGTGTGCGGAACTCAAGTGTCCATAAATTATTTTGGCAACCTTAGTAAATGGATGGCTGAATTGTCATAATTCTCTCTCTCTCTCTCTCTCTCTCTCTCTCTCTCTCTCTCTCTCTCTGTCTGTCTGTCTTATCTCTGTCTCTGTCTCTCTCATCTTTCTCTGTCTTTCTCTCTTCCCTTTGTGCTTAGGGAAACTTTGGTTTCACTGACTGTGGTGCTCATACCCCACTGAGAGTACTGTGCCAGTGAAGAGGCTGTTAGAAAAATAGGCCCAGGGGCTGGGGATTTAGCTCAGCGGCATAAGCACCTGCCTTGCAAGCAGGCGGTTGTGAGTTCGATCCCCGGTACCGATAAAAATGAAAAAGCCAAAAAAAAAAAAAAAAAAAGAAAAATAGGCCCAAAGTATGCCCTTACGGGGAACTATTGAAAGAAATGGGGAGGAGACAGGGAGGCTTGGGAGCTGAGTTTCTCACATCACCACCCCAAACCTCAGGGTATGCAGAGTATGGAGGAATGGGCGAGCTCTCAGAGGACCTACACTGGACTCACTGTAAAAGTTACACAGCAAGGGGCTGGGGATTTAGCTCAGTGGCATAAGCACCTGCCTTGCAAGCAGGCAGTCGTGAGTTCGATCCCCGGTGCCGATAAAAATGAAAAAGACCAAAAAAAAAAAAAAAAAAAAGTTACACAGCACATAGAAGGCACAATGTGAGGGCTGCAGGCTCTGTGGGGCAGAAAGGATTCTTCCAAAGCCAGGGAAACTGCCCAAAGGGAGACGACATTGAAGAAGAAAGAGGAGGCAAGGACTAGGGCCCAGAAGCAGGGGTACAAATGGAATGTTTTGATAATAGTGTGTTCACTGGTTTGCTTTCAGTTAAGGATTTTACATAATTGGAGACTGAGGAAAGAAGACCATTTAAATGCCAGGTTAAAGAGTGAAGGCTCTCCTATAAACT